ACCCTTTTTGTGGATTGGTGTGACATCTGCCATCTTCCAATCATCTAGGACCTCCCCAGTGAGCCAGGACTGTCAGTAAATGATGGAGAGAGGCTTGGCGAACTCTTCCGCCAGCTCCCTCATCAAATGGAGCTTACAGAACCACCTACTTCCAATCCCCCCGCTGCCATGGGCAGGGACACCTCCCCACCAGACCAGGTTGCTCAAGGCTTCATCCAACCTGTCCTTGAACACTGCCAGGGTTGGGGCACCCACTACCTCCCTGGGCAAGCTCTGCCTGTATCTCACCACGCTCACAGTAAAAAGCTTTTTCCTAATATCTAACCTAAATTTTCCCTCTTTAAAATTGTACATCTTTCAAATAGATTCCGGCTGCAACATTGAAAGCCCTGGAAGCAAAGCTGCAATGGCAGCAGCCACCCAGGGCAGCCTGTGGGCAGAGGAAGACACAACAGCAGAAGTTCATGTGAGGCTGCAGTGGTAAAGCTGAGTGTGGTAATGTGTTACAGACCAAATGGTCCTCCCACTCGCCCTTAAAAAAACAAACCAAAAAAAAACCCAAATCCTCCCTCCTTCAGAATACACTAAGCTCAATGCTGACTCTTCATCAGTTAGATCAGTAAAGTAAATCTCCCATATTGTTGTATGGATCATGGGATCATGCTTCAGAAGGACCTGCCCCACCTGGTACTGACCCAACAGCACAAGAGCTCCACTCTGCACACTTTAGCTCTCCATTCCTTTGATAAGGTGTAGCTGTCAGAGGCTGAGGGTACACCTCAACCCATTTTCTGAACTTCACAATGTAATCAGAGTAGTTTAATCTTACATAAACCACTAGAAGGCAACCTAGGCCTAGTCTTCTCTAGAAATGCTGAACTCAGCCATGCAGATTCCCCTCAGGACAGTAGTATATGTATCAGCACTGCTTTGAAACCAGACTTAAACGACTGTTTCAATTAGAAAAAAAATTCTTATTTACGTTATCTTCCATATTCACAAGACAATATATTCCTTATAGACAGGTTTTTATTAAGCTTCTCACATGGAATTAAGCATATATTCTACATCTGACATGCTAGCAAGGTTGTCAGGAGCCAACTTCTTTTTTTATTCTCCAGACATCTGTGGTGGTTGAAGTTCCCTGGATTACACATAAATGTTGCAAGACTTGTTTCCAGTTCTAAACATGGTGGATGTAACACTTGCCAAAAGTTCTAACCATACCAACACAAGAAATCTGAGAAGTACAGCAGATAAAACAACATGTATGAGGACAGATCTTGTAAAGAGCTGAGTGATGACACTGTCAGACTTTTGGGGTCGTAAACAGGAACATGGGTGGTGCTAGACGTACAGGCCTTCAACACACAGAAAGAATGATGTTTTCAAGGGTCAGCCTACAGGGAAACAACCTCAGCATTTGAGAGCAATTATCTTGATGCCTTAAAGAGAACCTTTTCGGTGCTCAGGCTTATTCTTCCAGTTGATGGTTTGATAGTGTGCATGTGACGCCACCATGTGTGAATTAAGATGAATCTATTCATGACCGACCAGAAGTCCAGAAGAGCGTTACCTTACCAGACTAACATTCTGTACAAAAACAAGACTGAGAATGTTATGGTGACTGAACCCAACCAGCACTGAGATATCTTGCTCTTACTTGTGTTGGTCAGAAGTTTCCTTGCTGGATGATGCGCAGATATATCAATACATTTTTGACGTTGTGTATTTGCCTATCCACATCTGCTGTATGAGGAACATGCTCCTAAGACAGTACATTCCCACCCACTTGTGATCCTGCTATGAATAACTTGTGTGGAGCCTGCTGGAACGGAAGTCCTGTCCTTAGCTGGGAGTGATCCTTCCTCCTAGTCCGATGTCTCTTGCAGGCAACACTCAACTGAAATAACCACAAGGGAGTGAAGTAACAAGGTTCAGAGTTTGGCAGCAGCAGATTCATAATGATTAAATTGAGCAGTAGGTACAGATTGAAAAGAAATTATGTATCCACAGTATCTGTACAGTATAATTAACTTCACAAAAGTGGGTTTTTTTCATTGTTATATTTTAAAGGTTGCCTTCACATTACAGATAAGTCCTTTAAATGTTTGAAAGGCATAAAAATTCCCCTTCCCACACAAAACCCCAAACAATATATTTTAGTTTCAAAAATATTCTGAACCCACGAGCTTGGTATCAGTTAATCTGGTAAAATAACTACGTGCCAAATAAAAGCACATCTGGTGGATAGAGCGCAAAGAATGTTACAAGTGTACTTTGTTTTTGCTTGCAGCATCTGGCAGTGGGTAGCAGGACAGAGGCAGGAATCTCATTGGGTCTCCTCCGGCGTCTGTTCTGCAATCGTTTCTGTGGCACTGGCATTGGCAGCAGAGTTGAGAACTTCTCCAAAATCTCCTCCAGCAGGTTTGTTTCCTCCAACTTTAGACTACAACATAGAGAGAGCCTCAACGTAAAATAGTAGTTACTTGGCACACCAGGCATGCTTAATTGTATAAACCAGTACCTCTGCATGAGTAAGTTTAATATCTCTCTTCCGCAGAGCAGCTGCTCCAGGACTGAGCAACCTCCATGATACTCTAAAGACAAGTCTTTGCTCATCATGCAGGAAACACACAGCAGGCTCCCCCTGACTCTGAGCAACACGAAACAGCCCTTACTCCAGCACTGATTCCAGAGTCCAAAGGCTGACACCCTCAGTTACAAATGGTACAAGGATGTAGCCTTTCAGGCCATTTAGGCTTTGAAAGATTCAGAGTTAAAATTCACTTCTGTATTTGAACAGTTTTGAGTCTCAGCAGCAATTCCTGAGATCTTTAGTGGAGCAGAGCAATAGTTTTACTTTCTCCAGGTAACGTGTTTGCCTTATCACTTCCCTCTACAGTATATATCCCATGGGACTCCAAGGGTGTTAATGCCACTTAGTTGCAAGGGAATGCCTGGCTCCCCATGCTATTGCTTGCATGCTGCTCATCCAAGCCAGTGTGCCCATGACAGCAGTAAAATTTGCTTCCATTTATAAATATTAGTTACTTTTAAAGTGAGTTTTACCTGGCGTATCTATCTGGTTGTTTCTGGCATGTCAGGCTTTTGCAAGTTTACTTTAAATTAAGGTACAAAGGCCTTTTGCCTCTTGTGCCAGAAATGAGTGAAGCATCCCAAGCTATTCTCCTGTGTAGGACACCAGTCACTAGAAAGGCACAGAAATAAAAGCCTAGATCATTTTGGATACCTAATACTAGGTATGCTATACTAGCTGTTTGTGCAGGTTAGCTGTCTGTTAGCTCTTCTAGTTAAAGGCATCCACCTGAATGAGGTGCAGGAAGCCCATGGTTTTATCTGTAAATCATTAGGCAGAGAAACCATTTCCAAAGTACTTAAAAAGATGTCATCTAAGCACCTTCAACAGATTACCAGTAACTAAAGAACAGGCTGCCCAGAGTGCACTTCAGTCTCTTCTCCATGTCCACAGCTCCACAATCACCAAGGTGTTTTAGTAATACTTACCTTTAAATTTTCAACTTTTTCTTCAAAGGATTTGAAAGTAGGAGAATTTCTAAGAAAATAAAAAGAAGAATCACAGAATTAAACACATATCTGGTCATTCTATAAATATCAGAAAACAAGCAGACAGTTGCTTTTTCCCCAATGTCAACATGAGGTTTGTTTGTGGCTCTTTCCTTGTTTTAAGGGTAGCCTAAAAACGGTTTACATCTGGATCTCCAGAAGTATTACAGAACTAAAATTCAAACACACTCAAGTTCCAGGCTCATTTATATCTTTGGCAACTAAGCACTGTCAGGCTCAGTGATAGGATCCATCATAACAACATGGAAGCGAGAACTAGCAAGTATTTTAGCTTTAGGTTATTATTCTCAGTGATTTCAAACAGGTTTCTGGCTTAAAGGATTTGTTCAGAAAAGCTTAGTCATCACTTCTACTAAGCTTAGTACATTATTGCTGAAGAAACCCATCAGAGTGTTATCACTTGTTATAGGAAAGCTAGTTTAATTGGCTATCTGTTCAATTAATAAAACATGGTTTGCAGTGGCATTTTCTGCTAACGTTAAATTTACGGGAGACTCCCCCTTGCCTTTAAGTGCCAGAGGCAGCTGTAATCACAAGTGGTAAGTTTGGCATGTGAAGAGCAGGACAGCTTGGGATTTCCAATGCCGAGGGCTGGTGTTATTATTCATTATGAGAGTGGCTTAATGCTCTGACTAGCTCTCACTACCACGTGCAAATTTGTGCAGCAACTTTTTTCTGCCTTTATGCAGCATGGAAAATGCTTGTCTTTAAGGGACAGGTCTAAGGTTCACAACAGACTCAAAAATTTATTATAGAAAGATGAAAGACAAGGGTTTTTTCCCAAAGAATTCTGAAGCTTTCCTTCTCTCTTTGCTTGGTATTTGCATAGGTCACCCACACTTAGCAGCACTTTCACTGGGGAAAGCACAAAGTGACACATATATCAAACCAGACTCTCCCAGGAGGTGGAGGGACACGGTGCCAAGCAAGGGGAGAGAAAAGACAAGTGCCCCAAGTCACCAAGAGACTTCTTGTGAAACTACAGTATATTTTTTATTCACTTACATTGTTCCAAAACATATGCCAAACTACTGTCTTGTAAACTTGGAATAACTTAGTAACATTACATTTCTAATGGGCAGGGAAATGTTGTTACAGTTTTCCAAACAGCAGGGAAGTGTGCTTGGTCACATTCCAGATGTTGGGTTATCACCACCATTAAGCAGATATAAACCAAATTGTATCCTATATGTTAGTACTGGAAATCCATTACAAAGCTGGGTAGGTTTTTTTGGTTTTGTTTTAAACCTGTGTTAGTTGACCCAAGTTCAGTTCGACTTGATTCCACACATGAAAATAAATAACCCCAGGAGCTGGATTACGCATACATTACCTCATAATAGGCATACTAATTGAATGTTGTATGGAGCGTATACTAAATGCCAGCATTAAGAAAAAAAGAAAGCAAGAGGTTAGTTTAAGTATTACATTGAGAAGAACTTGGCTTAGAGACCTGACTTCTGCATACTGTTTTTGGTATATGGCCAAACAACTTTATACAGACTTAGACAGTAACTGCTTGGGTTTGCTTTTTTAAACTGCTTAGCCATGCACACACATAAGTACATCAGAGCAAAAGCTGCACCAACCTTCTTCCCTTTTACAAAGACTGGAGTGCCATGCTTGTTTGTGCTCATTCTGCTTAGCTGCAACACTCTGTATCTCGTTAAGTTTCTCAAGCAATGAGAGTCATGCTGTATTGACAATTTTGGTGATATCAAGTAGAAAGTGAACATACAAAAGTCTTATCAATCAACTAATCTTCCTACCGAAAGAATTATTCCTACATTCCTTTCAATTTCCTTCCATTTCAGTTCAGTGTAAGGTTTCCATACTCATCAATACAAATTATCTACTTGTCAATACACATTATCTAGCAAGAACAGTCACATCGATCTGTATTCAAGGTCAGGTTTATGATGACAGTGGGGAGAAAGTCCTAGTCTCAACCCTGTTCTGGAATTCATGAAAATTTCTGTAACCTGCCAGTGTTGCTATACAGTTACTGTTTGTTTAGTAAGAATATATACCTACTCCTGGAAGGTGACCAGATGTAGACTAAGGAAATAACCTCAAGACCAGCTGGAATCTAATTTAGTTCCATCTAGAAAATCTCTGTTTACTGTTGATGAAGAGAAGTCTTATATGTTAAGTATTTCTTATCAAATAGCACAATACTAAGTTAGAATTATTAAAACTTATGATCACAGATTTTCAGAACTGTATCTAGAATACCAAAATTTGCCTGGGCTTTATGATGTCCTTCAGAGAATACTTTCCAGGCAATTGCTGGGGCTCATGAGGAGGGAAGGGAAACAACTCTCTTACATGATGTACCGCCAAACTTCCAGTTAGTATCTTGGCACAATGGAATATGGATTCCCAGAAGCAAAACAGTTCTGTGTTCATTGCAGAACAAGTTTTAAAGTAGAATACAGGGATAAAAAGAAAAACTAGACACCTAAAAATTTCCCCATAAGGTTGGGATCCCTTAATGCAGACGTGCAACTCTAGGTTGATCTGTAGGTCCAGAGTACTGGGAATCAGATAGCAAAAGCCAGATGCTTTCCTGACACGTGTCAGTAATGCACCACCATGCTTCATCCATTTCCACAACTCCGTTTCTGCTGTTTCATTCTTATGGACAGTTTGGCTTCCACAAGCTTTTCCAGAACAAAGAGAAGCTGATTGTCTTCTGGAATGTAATTTATATTCTTCACTGTGATGTGGATTACTGCAAGTTCTCATCTTGCTACGTGACAGGTTTTATTACAGAACTACACTGACACTAACTAGCTCCAGTCATGCTCAACCACTTCCCCTCACCCTGCAAGAAGTGCCTCCCTTCCAGAAGTTTAAGGCTAAAGAGGGTGACATAAATATATTTACAAACTGTAGACCTGCTAACACTTAAAAACAAAAGCCTATAGTGTATTGCAGATGTTTTAACAGGTGTCTACATAAGTTTAGATTAATCTGAGATACTTTAATAGAACTATTCATACATTTTACTTGCTGTTGTACAATAAACTTAGGTACATATTCAGCATTCATTTTGTAAAATGAAACCTTATGATAGTATATGGTTTTATCATAGAATGATCTGGTTTGCAAGAGAACTGGATTAGATAAATGCAGTTGATTTTTTTTTATACCAAATCACCTGTTCTTCAAGCAGTGCAAAGAATCACAAGTAAACCTTCAAAAGCTTTACAAAGAAGAGGACCTGTATTTCTTTTCACAAATGACAGAATGCCACATCAAAGCACTCACTCAACTAGGCCAAGTTGGGCAGTTTGAAAAAGAGAAGCCCTTTTTACAATGCTCACGAGCATACCGCTAGCTTAGAAACAACAACAGCAAAAAAAAGGCACAGGAAGTTGCTCTCCAGGCTTCCATGTATTTTGTACTGCATTAAAAGCTTTCTTATCCTCTGCACAAATATTTTTCAAAGCTACTATATTGTCTCACATTTTGAAAAGGCACAATTTAGAAACAGTCCAAGACAGAAGAAATCACACCATTGTGGCTGAGAAGTTTCCCAACAAACACAATGCAAGGAAAATGAAGCCATGATGAAGACACCACATAAGAGTTTAAGAATAAAAACATACCTGCATATTAAGTATTTATTCAAGTCAGTATCAGGCCCATCAATTCTTGTTTCCAAGAAATAACTCGGGCATCTAAAATTTACTGAAGTTCAGACTTGTGCAGTCTTAAAAGTAGACACCAGTTGAGTAGTCACATAACCCTGGGACCTGAATTCACTGGTTGAATCCCAGATGAACCTGGTTCTCACAAAAACCAAAACAACTCAAAGGTTTTTAATCTCTTGTGCAACCAAGATCTTGGACAGCACTAATTCTTCAGACTTTGTTTTGTTTAGCTTTTTAAACCCAGCTACTCCTGAATTTATAACAGTACCTTGAATTTCCATTGCCATGATTCTCCCCAAGAAGCTCACCAACTGTGTAGACTCCTCTGGCACTGTTAAATTCCCTCCCAGTGGCCCAGTTCCTGATAAGAGTACTCAACACCCACATAGATGCTGTCTGGAGTAATTAGGACACTCTTCTTTGAAAGGTATTAAATTCCTGAAGTCAGCAGACAGCTCTGAGTCTGTGCTTGCCCTTGTCCAATGCAATAGTCTAATACTAACAGGGGAACACAACAGGCTTAAGGTGAATGAACTCTGTTAAGCGAGTAGACAAGCTCTGCGTCCAAGAAGTAGAGAACCATCTTCCAGGCTCCCCTTGTCTCACTGATGCCAAAGGAGAAGTATTTCAGCCCAGCTGCTATTCTTATGCTTGAGCAAACTCAGCTCACTTCATAGTCTGAGTTGTGGTAGCACCTTGTGCTGCTGCCCATCTCCTTGCCTGAGGAGAGTTAGTATTCTAGGACCCAGATCTCTGCACCTTCACAGAGATCCTACTGCTGTCCTTAGCTATTTAGTGAGAGAGTACAGAAAAGCTGCAGCCAGACTCAGGTGTGCAAAGACAGGATGAAAGGCAATGGACAGAAGTTGTTACACAGGAATTTTAACTACTGAAAACACTGAACATTTGCCCAGACGAGGCAGATGAAAGGTAATGGAAACAAGGCAAAATACTCAGTGTCGGATGCTGCTAAAGAAATATGCTCAAAGATAAAGACTCTTTCACTGGACAAAGTATGAACAGAGAATGAATAAACTATTTTACACTTAGACTCTAGTGATTGGTTTAGAGTCACAATGCTAAATAGCCGTTGTAACAGACACCAGAAGGGGGAAATTTCTACTCCAGCGCAGCACAAACACTGTACAGACAAAGGAGAAATCCTGCATGCCATTGACCTCAACACCATATTCTGCCTCTTGACAAAAACCCTTGCAGAACCATTTTAGCAGGTTCCTGTCCTACAAGGAAGAGAGACTCATTGATTATTATGTATACTCAAGATTTCATGTTCTGAGATAGTTACTAGGTGAACATGAAGAAACATCTTCCCTGACATTAAAAGACCTTCGGTTTTACATTAACTAACACTGGAGAAAAGAAGAAGTTACCTGTTACAGAAAAAACTGTTAATTAAAGATTTTAATGGAGACAGTCTGACTACATGCTTAGTTTCAGAAACAACTCTTGCGTCCACCTTACCTAAAGGAATGTGAAAATGCCTGTAGTCTGCACAATGCCAGAGTAAGCATTAAAGAGAGAAAGGAAGTTCTGATAAATCTGAAGAAAAATATGTAACTTTGTAGCTGCACCTCAAAGCGTTTTCTCACTACACTTCAAAAAGCAGGAGGTTAATGGCAGCACTTTAAAACAGAGGGCTGATTTTATTACACTGCTTTCCATGCACCAATATCCTGTTAGAATGTGTGAATTTTTATTTGCCCAATAATTGAAAAATAAGTTTAACCCATTACTCACAATAAATTACACATAGAGATGAATAATTGTATATGTTCCAGTGGAAAAAAATGTATAATCAAGGAATAGTAGGCTAAGCATCTGATTGTACTGCATCCAGCAGAAGTTTTGCATGCAGCTCACCATAGTGCTAAAACTGACCATGCATGTGCATGAAGGGCTGTGTCATTGACTCTGACACAAAGTCAAAATACGCTGCATGACAGCAAGGGCTAAGAGGTAAAACGTGCCAAATGTAATAAAATCAAGCCACTTCTATGAGGCAGAACAGCTTACAAAGAAATCAAACACACCTGAAAGGAAAAAAACCCAAACAAGCAACAACAAAACACAAACCAAGAAACCGTAAACAGCTAAAGACACTAGTTTTTTTAAGTGTAGTATTCCACAAGCTGAGAAAGTCAGAGAACAGAACTGACAGAGCTATGTGCATCCCAGGAAGGCAGAGATGCTGCCACCTGCAGTGGTACCAGAAAAGGAAGAGCAGCAGTAGAGGTTACAGCACACATTGCTTCTCTCACATGTATAAAATACACACCACAGAACTCTTCTGCATCAGTGAGGACACACAAGCAGATTTTGCAGCAAGTCTCTTAGCTCTCCTAAAACAGATGCTGAGGGTTCTTAATAGATTAGCTTTAGAAGCAATAGGTACATTAACAGCATGAGTTTATTGCAGTGATTACCTGCTTCAATAAAAAAAAGCAACTAATTGGGAAAAGCTAAAGAAACCTACCTGACATCTTCAAATTTCTTGGTTATGACTGAACCAACTGAAGAAAAAGCAGCAGAAGCCTTCTGACCAGCCTGAGACAGGGTTTCTGATGTTCTCTTGTATCTGTGTTAAAACAAAATGAACAGAACACATAAGGAACCTTTTAGCTTACGTATATTTGTATCACAGAGGTATTCTTTGGCATTGAGGCTTAAGAGACAACCTGCTTAAAAGACTATTTTGACATTGCAGTCCCTTCTGTCTAAAGCATCTCTGCCACCTCTGACTTCAGACACAGCTCACCAACATGCACCTGCTACCCCACCCTCAGAACACATGCTATCTGCTATTGTAGGACTTGCAAAAAAACCCATCTAAATTTAAAAACATAAATTAAAAAAACCACAGAAAAATACCCCAACCAAAAAATATCCAAAACAAAACAAAACAACACCATGCACATACACACTGACAAAGAACACAGGTCTGTTTTTGTGCCAAGTGTCTAAATTCTTGTACCAAACAGTTCTGTCAATAGACTTTGCCACAAAAAGTTTGAGGTACATCATTTTACATTCTGTGTAGTCATCAACTGCAGAAGGCAGCACACTCTAGCCCTTAAGCTAAGTTGTGTTTGGCAAGAACATTAACTGACTTTGCAGTCTTCCTCCATGATCTCAGCCTACAACAATTTTTCAGGGTGGAAAAGAAGGGTATTCTGCTGGACTTAGGACACTTTAGTATCTTAGTAATGATATCCCAGATCTGTCTGACAAAAAACCCCAGTGTGTTAGAATAGCCCATGTTATGGTCAATCATTCTTCTTTTCCATGAGATAAGGCTAATGGTGTCCTGCTTTAAAAATATCTATGTTGATTTATCCAGATAAGTTTTAATGCAACTTAACCTTGTGTTATCTACACTCATTTAATTTCACAAGAACAGAGGGTTTAGACATGACATAAGAACTACAAAATTTTCACCTCAACAGCCTAGACAATCATCATGAACTGATACATACGCTGTGGTTGATGTAACATCTTGCCAGCTTTTGGTAATGTTCTGTCTTAGTTCCTGTAAGGAGTTAATTCCCAGCTTTCTCTTGATTTCTGCTAGATGCTTCTCTTTGGCAGCTAGCACCTGTGAGAGTGTTTGGATCTCCTCTTCCACCTGTGGCAGGAGAGTTGATGAGAGGGAAGTTAACAAGCAATATCCCCAGACATTTAACCGTATGTTTATAAAATATCTGCTAGACATCAGTACTGGGAGGGCTAACACATTTTTAACATTGCCTCACAGTCATTTCTAGATACTAAAAGCAAAATCCAACAGTCTACAAGAGCCCGTAAGAAAGTCATCCACATGCAGCTAGCTGTTACTGGAATATATACAAGTTGGTAACTTAAAGACTGTATAGTTAGAAATCATTACCTACGATATGTGAAGCTTGAAGATTAGTCAAACCTGGGACAAATACCAAGCCTGTATTCTACTTCCATGTCAGAAGACATACCAATGTGTGACCAGTATCAGGAAGCTCAGAGCATGTCTGATCCATACACAAATTTTGCCCCTTTGCTTGAACAGAATGGTTCTTTTGTGGCTTAAGCCAGCAACTGCAGACTGGATCCAGCCACAGGAGTGCCTTCCCCAGAGCAGCGTGGAAATGGTGGCAGAATGAGCACTTAAAACCCGCAAAAACATACAACAAAAACACAGCTCCTGCTCTGCAACTAGAAAGCTGGATTGTTTGTATACTTCCTTCTTTGCTCAGATACTTCCTTCTTAAGCCTCTTCCAGAAACATGACCAGATCACGAACAAAGATGTCAACACAGTTTCATGGTGCCATTCTGTGAGCTATATATAGGTGATAAGAGGCACTAAGGCTGTATGTACAAAGGCAAGGGCACACATCCAACCCTACTTCCTCATTCAGACAGGATGACCCTACTTTAGAGTATCAGGCTGCCCACTCATTTAAGCTCCTTAGAGGAAATACCACTATCTTCAATACACCCTTCTTTTGAACATCTGTCCGAACTACAGTGTGACATACCCTAGCAGGACCAGATTACCCTCACCAATTTTGGCATGAAATGATACTCAGGACTACCAAAATAAGACTGCATTAAATGTGCTTATTTCACAGCCAACCTTCATTTGACAACCTTCGGCTTAAGTCAGTGTCACACGGAGCTACTAAAGAAAAAAGACTGACTGCTTAATAAAGCCTGACTTTGGCAATTTTTGAAATGCACATATCAGGCTTGAATATTTGACTGTCCTTCAAAGAACTTGCTCTTAAAAACATTCTGCCATGGACAAGAATAGTAACATGGTGAGACATTAGCAAAACAGCGCCTACACGGATATTACTACAAAGCATTTTTCATGAAAGAAACAGCTTTAGTTACTCCACACCACTTGAGACAATACTTGGGTTTTGGCTTCCAACCATGTTCTCTCTGACTGCTTATTTACCCCCTTCTCACTTGAGGAAAAAATGGGTTAGGTGTTTATTATGCATCTTGGTTTCAGATCTGTGCACTCAGCACTTCTAGCTTAATTCCCCATTGCTAGAACTGGCTGCTCTTTTCTCCTTGACACCTTCCCTCTCCCTCCCCACAATATACAGGAGTGCCGTATCTGGCTACAGAATAAATATGCAAAGCACTAACGTATGTTCAAAGACAGCATTATTCCAGATTTTCATTATCAAAACAAGTCTAAGAACAATTTACAAAAGAATTACCTTGGCAAGTTCTTTTCTTAGCTCATCCTGTTCTTCTTCTGAGAGTGTTTCTGCCATATCAGCTGTAGCAGCAGCATCCTCTCCAACCTCAGGTATAGAGTCACTTCTCAGCAGCCCTTGAGATGAATAAACCATTAAATGTCAGATTATCACGTCTGCCAGACAGCAGCTAACATTAACATACAGCCCTTTTGTGCCAGCGCCAGAAAGAACTGATGAAAGGACACTGAAGTCATGCTCCCCCAGCACTATGGAATACAGAAAAACAGAGGCATTTTACATTTTGTTCTATTGAGATGTATTGAAACTCAATATAATTGCAACTGCTGCTGTAATAGGAGACTGAAAACATGTTGGGAACAAGGCATCCCACTACTCCGATAGAGACCAAGGTGCAGAACACGATATCCCAACCTCTGCCTGGAAGTCTGTGCACACTCTGGTCTCACTCACCAGGCACACAAACTCTGGAAGCACTGGAGATGCTCAAGGCCAAAGCAGGGGCTCCCTTCCCTCCCTTATTACTCTCTGGATCAGATTTTTAAATGTTCATTCCGAGCACACTGGAAGCAGTCATGGTGACAAGCAAGGTTAGCAACAGTGGATAAAAGTATTGCACCACAAGTACGAACCCTTCCTTTGTCCCCTGCTCGACCTCTGTGCCCACAGTAACTGGGACTACTGTGGCTAGAAAGTTGCAGATGTGATGGAACTAGAAATAAGCTGCTGGTTTGCACACAGACATTAAGACAGAAGGGAAGCCCGAAGACAGAACTTGGAACAAAAGGCTGTCACTTCAGACAAAGCAGCCAAGTGCTAAGAAGAGACTGATGAGGACGTGCATCCACTCACACAGCTGCCTCCTCCCCTTCCAAACCCAGAAACCAACTCTGCCAAACTCCTCCTGGATGAATCACAAAAGCCCTTTCGGTCTTCCTCAACTCTTGCCTTTACGACTTCAGGGAAAGGAAGGAGAATTATATTATTTGTATTACCATGATGCACTCACTTTAGAGATTCATTTATTCTTACTCCTTGCAGTGAGATCACTTTAAACACCTCTTAATGCAACAAACAAAACTTGCAGCAAAAGATTTCCCATTCCAAGTCTTTGTAGCTGACACTGACAGCTTGCCTGAATTAAGGAATTCTGTTTTAATTGCAGAAAGATCAGCATGCAGGGAGACTGCATGCCAGAAGGGTTGTGGATTCCCAGAACGAATTCTCTATCCAAGAGGTAAAATAGCTTTACAGATAGCAAAAAAAAAAAAAAAAAAAACTTAGAAGAGAAAAACCAGGATTGCGTGTTTGTAACGCGGCGTGTGTGTATGTGTGTATATATAGATGTGTGTGTATATATGTATATCAATACATAATTCATACAGGTTGAGGACACAGTAAGTAATGTTTTGTATTAATCGCTATAGGAATTAACCAGATAAAGATCCATCCTCATTTCAGCAGCTTCCAATGGCACTCCATACTATCATTTGGTCTGGGAATCCAAAAAACTCATTAATGTGCAATGAGATCACCACCGATTTTGTTGTGAGGCTTGGTATCAAACAGCCATATCACAGCCAACCAAAAGGTCAGGGAGGGGAAAAAAAAAAAAAAAAAAAAAAAAAGAGTCTAAGTCTGTCACTAGTTGTAGGTATAAGTAGTGGGTTGTCCCTGGCTCCATGCCAAGCACCCACCAAAGCTGCTCTCTCACACCCCTCTGCAATATGGACAGGGGAGAGGAAATAAAACGAAAGGTTCATGGGTTGAGATAAGGACCAGGAGAGATCACTCAGTGAGTACAGTCATGGGAAAAACAGACTCAACTCGGGGGAAATTACGTTATTTTATTATAACAAGATCAGAGTAGGACAATGAGAAAATAAAGCAAACCTTAAACACACGTTCCCCTACCCCTCCCTCCTTCCCAACTCTACCTCCTTCCCCACAGCAGCACAGGGAGACAGGGAGTAGGGGCTAGGGTCAGTTCATCACACGTTGTTTCTGCCACTGCTCTCAGGGAGAGGAGTCCTTCCCCTGCTCCATCGTGGGGTCCCTCCCACGGGAGACAGATCTCTACAAACTTCTCCAATGCTGAGTCCTTGCCATGAGCAGCAATTCTCCACGAACTGCTGCAGCATGGGTCACTCTCCACAGGGTGCAGTCCAGTCCCTCAGGGACAACCTGCTCCAGCACAAGTCCTCCACAGGATCACAAGTCCTACCAGGAACTCTGCTCTAGCATAGGTCTCCTCTCTCCATGGGTCCACAGGTCCCTGCCAGGAGCCTGCTCCAACAAGGGCTCCCCAAGGGTTCACTCTGCACCCCATTAACCTCCATGGGCTGCAGGGGCACAGCTGCTTCACCACAGTCCTCACCATGGGCCATGGGGAATCCTCAGCTCTGGCACCTGGAGTACCACCCTCCCCTTCTATCTCCACTGACCTTGATGTCTGCATAGTTGTTCCTGTCACATTTTCTCACTCTTCTCTGGCCATAATCACTCCTGCACACTATTTATTTCTTTCTTAAATATGTTATCACCGAGCTGTCACTACCATCACTGATTGGCTCGGCCTTGCCACAGCAGTGGGTCTGTCCTGGAGCCGCTGGCATTGGCTCTGCTGGACATGAGGAAGCTTCTAGCAGCTTCTCACAGAAGCCATCCCTGTAGACCTCCCCACTGCCAAATCCTGGCCACACAAACCCACTACCACATTCCATGAAACATGCTCCTAGCAGCAGTCAAGCCTAGGAAAAGCAGCAGCCTTGTTCTTGACCAGGTTATCAAACTCATGTAAAGCTTAATTCCAGAAATTCTTTCTAAACCAGTGTGTTTTCTGCCTGTATTTGCATCCAGAGCACCTGTCCTTTAGAAGCACACTGCTACCTGGGCAGAATATTAGTAAATGCTGTCAGCACAGAGTGCACTGAGAAGGAAGCATACAGAAGGTAAATTAATCCTCATTCTCCATTTATTCATGAGATCTGTACCATATTTTCCCAGATATTTACATACGTCTTCCACACAAACATAATGTAGGCCCTATGGGTTTCCCAAGACACTATCTTCTGGCAGAAATCTAGAACAGAAAGAAGTTCAAGCCTAATGCCCAAACCAAAGTACAGCACTACAGCACCTAAAACAAAGAATTAAGCCTCACAGCTCACAATCAGATAATTTTTTTATGCATCAGCGTATTTTCACTTCTTAATGATTAAGAGTGCCACACCTTTTTGTCAAATTGCCACCTAACCTATTAATTACACATGCCTATACTGAAGGAAAACCAGCAATTTAAACAGCATGTTCCCCTGACCCCCCTGACTCCTCAGTAGATTCACCTACACCTCCTGACCTCGCTCTCCTCTGCAGGCCCTTCTGGACACCACAGAGCTTGCCATAGCAAAAGCCATTTCAGGAAGTTTACAAATACCAAAGACCATGCTGACTCAAGAGCATTAGCACATCCAGCTGAAAGTCTGTTCAATCTGATTATGAAGAGTCATCTGGATTATATCACCAAAAATAGATCAAACAAATCCACCAGGAGGAAAATGTGCTGGATTGTCTCCCACAGCAACAGCTTCTGTTTTGGGAATGCACCTTCTCTTTGGAAAATGAGTGTTTTGAGAAAGTTTGTGTTGCTTCTTGCCTGCTGAGCTGAATTTAAGACACAATGCTAAAAATCAAGGGAATGATCTCTCCTCCCCTCGCCATTTCTAGATCTTTTAGGAAGTCGGGAAATCCCTGCTACTCAGAGTCCTCCACACTTCACCCTATGTATCTGACCATGCCTTGCGCCCCTCTCCTTGCCTTCTGATCTCCCCCCATTTATTACTTTTTTTTGAGCTCTATACAAAGTATGCAGACACCTTCCCACCAGTCCTCATTCTGGCACCTCCCCTCTCATCTCCTGTTCACCTCTCTGTTCATTTTACTACTATTCCTCAGTTCACTTGAGTATTTCCCAGACACATCCATGCTATGGGAAGGCTGTGCTAGGCTGTCTGGCCAAGGAGTAGTTGCCTACACAGGTAACAACCCACAGACCTCCACAATGGTGTGGCTACAACCCAAATGTACCCCATAAACTAGGGCTGGCAGACAGCAAGATCCTGGCTTTGAGAAAGCTTCATGAGGAAGGGTGCACAGCTCACCTTAGATCTTTTTATGGGGTGTGGGGCAAGAAACCAGGAAATTAGCAGTCTGCCAACAGATGAAAATACTTCGGCTCAATCTGTTATTAAGGGAACCTTTCTCACTTGCGGTCTTTTTTTCCACCAACAGAACTGTTGCTATTATTGTTACTTTATATTGTTATGTATAACTGTTGTTATTATGGCTTCCGACTTGTTACCCTTCCTTATGTTAGCTCTCTAGTATCTCTAGAGCTGCGAAGGAAAAATTCAGTCATTTGGTACTCTGATTGTTATAACCAAGTTTAGCTGAACATTTCACATATCTTAAACACTTAGAATAAAAATTCTGCTTGGGGGAAAAATTGGAAAGACTTACACGGTATTGAGAAAACTTACCTAGCTTTAAGATCAGTTTTAGGTCTGTATTTCTAAGATTAACATATTATCCCAGATCTTCTTAAATGAACCAAATAAAGACATGAACAAGTTTATTGATTAGGACTCCACAAATCACAGTCAGGGAAATGGCACTGAAGTCCCTATTATTCTGCCAATTTAGGCAAAGCATTAGAGAAATTCAATTTACATTCAGTGTTTCTGATTTGGGGTTTGCTTTGGTCAGTTTCAACCCAAAGCTCATAATTTTGACCAGACATTCCTACCTCTTCCAGGCCTGAATTGGGAGATCAGCAGCAAGCAGGAGCAGTTTAAGAAAGTACTGTTCATTGTGGATGAGCAGCCCCGAGCTGGGGGAGGGTTAGCCTTCACAAAGCTTTCTCTTTGGGCAGACAGTCTCACATACTCAGAATGAGCATTTTGGCTATCACTATACAGTTGGCAAAGTGAAAGAAAAAAGGCTCTTATTATAGTTCAGGAGAACAAGCTGTTACAAGATTATAAGATCACTCAGTAACATACAGAGGATATTTATTTTGCAATATATAAGAAAGATGAAATTTAAGTGATTCCTGTTTATCTCAGTGAAAAAGCCAAAGTGAGATATCTTTCTTCAACTTGAGAGAGAAAGTGCTTGGGCTTCTCCCAAACACTAATTACATATTCATTGAAAGTGAATGAAAAAGAAAAGAAAGCCCAGCAAAGGCTGGTGGTTACAGTGATGCATCACCACCTGACAGAGGGCTGCTCTCCCTGCTCCTTCAGGACAGGTGTGAGATGCAGTAACTGCATACCTGAAAGCTGGTCACTGTTGTACAGCAGCCTGGAGCTCATCAGGCTCACTGAGGGGGTTGGTTTAGTTCACACAGAGGTTCCCCAAGGCAGGAACGATTAAGATTTTTAAGAACAAGCCCACCAAAAAAAGTTAACACCTTTGTAACTTTGCTTTGCCACACCTGAAGTAGCTGTAAGTCTTCTACATTTAAAATTACTCTTAAAATTACACCTAGCAGCAAGGAATGGAAAGGAAAGATAAAACCAGACGAGGATGTGCTGGGAGGCACAGTTCTGGGTGTTCTGTACGACAGGTTACCAGATAGAAGGGCTAAGCACTAGACAGATGCTGCTGCAGCATCAGCATACAGGGGAGCACAAGTGCAGCTAGTATCTGCGGGTGTATGATTCACAGCATTTTAAATGCTAGGTGGAACACAGCAAAGGTTTTAGAGGGCGTTTTCGTCAACTGGCGATATTTTCAGTAACAAGGCAAGAGCATATTTTAGGCTATCCAGAACTCTGGATTCCTACTAAGAATGCAATTCCTACCTCCTCTCCCCTGTCTCCCGCAAAAAGCTAACAGTCAAACTAGGCCAATTACTCCAATCCTGCAGAAACTGCCTTTTTGTTCCTTATTTTTCTGGTCCTTTGTTTTCCCTCAAACTGCCTTTCTACTGAAAAAATAACAAATAAGGTAAAGCTGGTAAATGCATAGCCCATGGGATATTACCTACATGACACACCAAAGCTAATAAACTACCAGAATTAACAGTAGGTCAACTTTTACAGATTCCTCATTTAAGAAGTTTCTTTTTACAGACATTAATTGCTAAGCTTTTCATGCAGAGATTTTGAAAAAGGAAGAGAAGGAAGTTACCAGACTTTGCCAGTGTAGGTGATCCAGGTGGAGAAAGGTTTATGCTAGGCGACAAATAAAGGTAATTTCTATTCACTCCAGTGTTGAAATCGAAAGGTGATTTGTAATCCTCATAAAGATCCATGCCAGAAAATTCAGAGCATGCAGCCACCCTCGTCTTCCACCGAAGTATTCATCTTCGCTTCCTGGGGTGATCAGCAGGATTCAGAAACCCTCCATTTCTTCACATGACACTCACTATACCTCGTCATAAAATTCAGCTCTGTTGCACATGATAGAGGTGTCTAGCCAGTGATTCCTTAGCCATCTTGTAGCTGCTGCTGCTTACATGTCACCAAGTTAAGTTCCTGTAAATTTATAACTGGGGCTGGACGCAAACAGACCGTTCCTTTAACAAACATTCACAGCACACTGCTTCTGGAAGAGCCTTGGTCCTCTGCAGAGTTACATCAAGAATTTTCAATCATTTAAATAAAAAAAGGTCAGCTGACTGCAGCTACACCAGGATATCCTTAATCTTCTAGGACACAAAAGGATTACTAGCCGTAATCTATCCTATATACCATCTGTGTTGGAATTTTTCCTCTGATTAATGGAAAATTCTGTGTGCATAACTATTTCTCCAGCTGCTTCCATCAGGTAATAACCAGGAGGGAGAACTCAGTCTCTAGTGCCCAGGTCTCACACTGTAGTGTGAGCTCACAGGAGGAGAGCAGCACTCCTCTCTGAAGGCTGGGCTGTAAACAACACCAGGCTTTTTGATGAACATGGCAACGTGCATTATGATTTTTGCCCATGAGGCTAAACATAGGGTTCTTTCTGGGGCTTTGTTTGTTTTTTATTAAAAAATATTATTGAATTGCACTGCCCTATCTCCCTGGTGCTTCAACCAGCGTCACAGCAGTCAGTTATGCCAGGAACCAGTGACACTCAAATGTCTAATGAAACATTTTGTTTTGACAAGTATAACAAAGATCAACTTACCTAAGCCGTCTGACTTCACACTATGGGTTTAAGATTTAACCCTGGGATGCAGAAATACTTCTTACCTAAAAGAGGCACTCAGCTCAATTTTGCAGTGCTTCACTACTTTTAATTTTCTTCCAAGGTCAGCCTCTTTCACAAAAAACATAAGCTTAGTTGCAGTCTAGACCATCCTTACAGCTGAGCAACAATTTCCTCCCAACTTTGCACCTACACCTGGGATCTCCACAGCAGTCTGCACCCAGAACGGCACAATCAAATGGAAATTAACCTTTTCCCCACCATAAGAGTGATGTTTTCAGACAGAGCTGACCAGAGACATTATGCCAGAGAAGGGAAGGGGCCTTGCAGCACACTAAAGTCAAGCCCAGGCAATGTGTTCCCTAGGGATGCAAGAAGAAAGGGTACCCCTTCTGAAGTTTTAACTTTCCATTTTCATTGCAGTCAGCAGGCACAGGAACAGAGAGCTAATTACAGAGCATTTCCTTTAGTCTGCAGACCTACATTAGCTTCTGGTGCAGACTACCTGCAGGCTCCTAACAATGACAGTGCCAGAGCCTGAAACACAGGTCTCTGCTATTTTCCAAAACCACTGGAAAGAAGAAAATATAATGCCCCTCTGTATTTCAGACACGTGGCTGCAGCATCTGCCAGAAATACTGCAAAGTTCACCTGACAAAGGTCAAAGCTTTGGTCACAAATTCTAGTTAAAGCATCCAAAGGCAGCAGAGAACTGTAACACAGCTACAGTAATAACATACTATATTAACCAAGCCTGCTAACCTGACTAACTTACTGATTCTGCTTTGCAGCTTTCCCTTATGTAACTCAGCAGTCAGGGACTGCCTTCTGTGCAAAAGGTTCAGGCAGTAGGTGTACTAACTGGGTTAGGTAAAATCACAAGTTATCAGACAGAGATATTTGGTTTCCCAGTCTCAGACCACTGACCAGGCCTACCACCACTACAGACAGAAGCATGTATGGGCCAAACTCTTCAACACATCTTCAGTGTACTCAAAGAGACAAGTACAGGAGATAACCCACCACTGGAACATATATTTGGCTTACAGGTAAGATTTGCTGATTTACAAATCTGAGCCACCACATGAGAGGCTCAGTTCTGTTAAATGTTACTATCTTAAGATCGATGCCAAGAGAGGGACCATGCAAGCACTCCTTACTTCAAATCACCCTCTGTGCTCAGATTAATCTTGTTCATGGTGGCCATACAGATGGGCTGCTATAACAACTTGCAAACATGTCACCTAAACATGTCAGCCTCCTGCTCTCCTATCTGCAGGAGTTTACTGGAGTGCTGCTTCTCACTTGTTCTCAGTTACAAATCCCATCTGGTGACAAAGGAAGCTATCTTGCAGGACAAGCTTCTTTCTCATCACTTAGGGAAATCCGATGGTCTTCTCTGAAGTACAAAGCCAACCCAGTTCTAAGGAGAAAGGACTGCAGTCCACCCTTCCAAAACTGCTGTATGATAACTTCTAGGCTGTAATCCCTAACCACCCACTTCAGGGAGGACACGTACTCCCCTGTCTGCCATAACAATCAGTTTATCTCCTTCTTCCCCACTAGGTCCTTAGCACATTCAAGGGCAACATCTAAGGGCAGTCTGAAGAAGACAGGCCCTGCTAGCTGTCAGTGTGGTGCATTTGGAGAAAGAATTAATCTCCAAGAGACTTTCCAAATTAAAGCTATAGCCCAAGGAAACAAAGCAGGTTTGGGATGACGAACAGCAGCCACAGAGAATCAAAAAGAAAGGTTTTGCTCTGCAGCATGAATCTTTTTGACCAGTTTAGCAGCACTCAACAGTCATAGCTAGGCACTAGCTGGAATCAAGATTTTTCTACGCTATGAAAACAGGCTCCTTATGAGGTCTTTCTAAAGAGCCCTCCCATGACCAAGATATCTTACTTCCAGGCCATCCTCATCCTCACAGTAATTCAGAGTACATGCAGCTGGCTGGAGGTATAACTGAGGCTGTAGAGCCACACCCTGATAGATGGACCTTGCCTTTCCTAGCACAAGATACACATTTTAGAGCTGAAGCTTAAGTTTAGACCTCTGTTACATGGCTTAGAGTAGTTATTGTGCATACTTGAGCATCTTTGTTCTTTGATCTGACTAATAGGTTCAATTTACAGTGTGCCTTGGTTGTTACTGCAGGCACCTGCTGTGAGCCAGTACCTGAAAAGATCTTGAAGCCTAAGGATGCACCTGCTCCAGAGACAAGCAGCAGTGGGATTTTGCTTACTACGCAAGAGATTACAACTGAAGATTTTGCTGTTCCACTAGTAGTCATTTGCCCTTAACACCTTAGGATAACTAAGAGGTTAGTACTTAAAAGTCACCTATGCCATTTTAGGAGCTGGTGTCTGACAGACTGGCATGAAGGTAGATACCTTCTGCCAAGGATGCTCCAACTAATTACTGACAAGTTCAACTCAGTGTCACAAAGTGGCTCAGGAAGGCTTGGCAAACCTCAGCAAAGCATTATCATCACAATTCCTACCATTAATCATGTTGTAATCTCCTCTGCTAAGGTTAGAGAGTGTGCTTAAAGCTCTCCCAGGTAACTATTTAGCATCAACAGCACAGATTGTGCACATCATGAATCATAAGGGAGGGAACTTCCTTCACAGCTAGAAAAGCTGCTAAGTTTGATCAAACACTTTTCACCAGGTATCTGCCTGCCTAGGTTCTTTCTTTAGATACCACCTGCTACCCAGGTCTGCAGTTTCCACCTTAGCCCAAGGCTCTGGCAGCAATTTAAGCAAGAAGATACAGTATTAAAGCACTTCTACTTTAATGGTAGCTAAGCAAGGATAAGATGCTGTGGTAGCCTTGCAGAGAAGCTGCTTTTCCCAAATTTAGGTCTAGCAGCACAATACTTTATTTATACCCTACAGAAACCAAACCCAGCTCAAGTAGGGCTGAATACCATCTCTGGGCTTTGAAGAAACTGAGCTATGTATTCAGTAGTGTCTCATACAAACAGGTACATTCAAAATGGAAAGGTTACCACTAATGCCTCAGGACTGGAGGAGTGCAGAGGCTACCGCAGGACACAATCCAAACAATACTGAGAACAAAGCTACCTAAATAACCAATCCACAAGATCTGTCCCTAATGTGAGTTCTGCTGTTACTCAGGCACATCCACCATCTTGAGCATCCTGTGTTGGTGTCCTGTTTATGCACAGAGATGCCAAACTTGTGCACCACAGCCCATACTTTTGGCAAGGCTATCATAACTCCAGCAGTTATTTCAGCAAGCAAAGGATGGGGGAAGACAAGGGGAAGAGTCTATTGACGAAGAACAGGAAGAGGTGCAAAAGGAGCTTGGTGTTTGGAGGGCATAGCAAGAAGATTCACTCTTATTTCAAGGTTAACTCTTAAGATGCAACTGTCTGCTCAGCCTATACTTGGTTTGAAATTCATCTTCTGCAGCCTGCTAAGAGGCAACACTGACTGGAGGCCTTCCAGTAACTGTGGCTGGGGTAAAGACTTCCAGACACATCTTGTGATACCCCTATCTTTCCCAGGTAGATCCCAATCAGGCAGCAACAGTCATGCTCCTCTTCTCATTCCAATTGAGTTTTATAAGCCATAAGCCATTTTAAGAGCTATAAAGCTACTTAAGCATCTTAAGCCAATCTAGGTTCTGTAGCATCAATTTGATCTTCAAAGTCTTACCAGTTTACAGACAAGTAAAGCCTTTCAGCACCTGATCCAAGGCCTTAAAAACTGCACTAAGAGAGAAAGATGCCGTGAAACAATAGAACTGAAGCCCAAACACTAAGCAAGCCTGAAATCAGTACAACATCAATGCTCCCATTGGCACATTGTGCTCTCTCCCCTCCCTTTGACACCTCTTTCAGCCCCCAAGATTAGTGCATACCATGACTGGAGCTGCACAGCTGTAGTGACTGCTGAACAGTATGAGCCCAGGCTTCTGCAACCCCATTAGTAATGGTCAGCAGAATGTGGCTTAAGGGTTTAGGTATCTGCTGTCTTCTAGCATAGTCCAACTCAACACTACAATATTAATCTCATTACTTCAGCCCCACACACATGCTTTCTCTGGACAAGCTCTCCCTGCTGCAACTACATAGTCCAGCACGATTCTTTGTACTGAAGCACCCTCTCCAGCATTCTGTTAAGCCTAAATGCTGCCTTCACTTACTCATATTAAAACAAACAAACAAACAACAACAACAACAAAAAACCCACAAAAAAAGAAAACAATCACCACCAAGAACAATCTCTTATAATGACCAATATTCTCCCAAGATGTATCTCGCTGCAACACAAAGACTTGTGAATGTTACAGGTGAGGATTGTGGGGTTGCTAGTACTGGCATTTTCTTAAACCGACGTCTCAGCCCACAGCTGACATGTCTTAATGAAGGCAGCAGTTGTCTCCTCCTCTCAATCCAATTATAAAC